TTTCTGATCGTATAAATGTTTTTATGTTTCTAGAAAGTTTAAGCAGATTTTGATCAAAATTGGATTTTTAAACAAATTTTAAAGTCCAAGTGTTGCATTGTGGTGCTTGTCAGCTCATGGGGCATGCTGTTTAGCTTACTTATAATGCATTGTGGCTGGGAAACCCTCCAATTGATGTTTGTACATTTTTATGGTCAGTCTATCAATAGATAAAAGTCCTTGTAGTACTTAAAGGTACATGCATATGTGTGCATTACTTTTAATTTATTGTCATGTGATGTTGTTGCTGTATATTTACATATGTCATGTCATCCTATATCAATCATGAGTGAGGTCATATTGCATTCATGAATGTGGCAAGTGTGAAATTACAAGAGTACATATGTAACCTTTTCATCATTGACAATGATAACATCTACACCTTGAATTGTTATGCCTCAAAATTATTGCTAACCAATTCCATATTAATGATCTTACTTCAATTGGTAGGTCAATGTAGTCAGGATGCACTTTGTCTTGTCAATAAAGTTTCATATCATGAAGGTCGCCTTGAGATATGCTATGGTAATAGCTGGGGAACAGTCTGTGATGATGGCTGGTCTAATGCTAATGCTCAAGTTGTATGCAGACAGCTTGGATACCCTACTACTGGTAAGCTGGGGGGCTATAACATAAATTTTAATGACAATACGCTATTATCAATGTAAATAATTGTTACTTTCATTAGCTGGGAGGACATTTCTGAATGCATTTGTATTTGAAGTACTTAGTGACATTGAAGAGGAAACCACTAGTGGCTTATTGTGTTTAGATTAAAAATACCATATAACTAGAAATATTAGCAGTAGTATAATTGATATTGGCGGATTAGTAGTTACTCACTAAGAGTCACTATCAATATAAAATATACCTTTTGCTTCATTCTGAACATGTTTGTGACTGCTCTGCCGATTCCAAATTTTTGACTCCTGCCAATGCTTCCAGCCAATTTAATGAGAGTTTTACTAACGTGTATCAAATAAATGTAATCCTTCAAAGCTTCACATTCTAATTTATAAAAAAAGTATTATTATTTCATTTTCTAATTTTAGGTGCTTATTATCGTGGTGAAGCCTACTTTGGACAAGGGACTGGTAGTATAGTATTAGATGATGTTAGTTGTGTTGGTAATGAAACATCTTTATACCAGCAATGCAGTCATGGATCTCCTCTGTCACACAATTGTACTCATAGTGAAGATGTTGGAGTGGTTTGTCCTGATATGCATTAATGAATTTATAATTGCTAATGCTGCATGCACACTTATTGTTATTCTTTTTTATTTATTGCAGGAGCACATTGTATTGATGGAGCAATTTGTCTTGTTGGAGAATCCAACAGTTCAGAGTGACGTGTTGAAGTATACCGTAGTGGATCATGGGGTACTGTTTGCGATGATTCATGGGACTATAGGGATGCTA